TATGAAAAAATCCATTATTAGTGTAGTATATTATTATATCCCATGTAATTAGTATATTAGTATATCGCTATTAACCTACTTTGCGTTGAATTTTCATCTATGTTAAGCCTAACAAAAATTTTTTTAAATAATAATCATCGCTATTGTATCGTTAAAAATTAGAAAGTTAAGCCTCGTTTAAATACTGGCTCCCTTTCATGGTCGATCCAGTGTTGCCAGCTAAAACACGTAAAAATAATATTAAAGTAGCCAAGACATAGCCAAATATTGTAGCGCCACATCAATAGCGGACATTTGAAATTTGCCGATTAGGACGGTCGGTTAACCGAGGGGTCGGATAATCGAGGCTCTACTGTACTTTTTAAATACAGTAGATACATTCCCAAAAAAAATCTGTATAAAAAAGATAGTGTCCAAATGAAAAAAGGAAAATTGGTTGCAGACCTTAAAAACCAATTAATATAATAGGTTTGTTTTAACAAAATATTTCAATTTTAGTTAATAAATTAGAGGTGGGACCATTGTAACATACTTATCAAGTATCAAAATTATATGCTTAAATTTTATTTTTTATTAAACTGTTTTAATTAAACATCAAAAAAACTTCTAACTTTTAATACAAGCCTACCATGCAGAAACTATTCTGTACAGTAATACCTCGACTTACGCTACCCCGACTTACACGAACCTGGAGTTACGCGATTTTCAAATCTCATCGATTCATTTTTTTGTTTGAGCGCCACACAACTCTCAATTACTCACTCCCCCCACACTGTTGTTCGGCTTACATGTTCGGACGTGTCGCACGGAATCGACACATAGCTACAGTTTATTTTGTGTTATTTATTTCTGTGTTTGTTATATCTACAGAGACTCGAGAGACTCTATGCTGTGATTTCTTGCAACCGTGAACAAATCAAATGATGAGATAAGATTAACAAGAACATTTATTAGCTTACATATATCCAACTTGGATTTTACACAAATTGCGAAATTATACCCCCACTTATGCGAATTCGACTTATGTGGTTATTGCTCGGTCCCACCTATCTCGTAAGTTCGGGGTATTACTGTAATGGAAGAAATGCAATCATAGAAACAAATTATCAAACTTTGAATTAAATTTTTCTGACCATTTCTATTGCAAGTTAAAGTTGGAATAAAAGACTGATGTATGCTAAACATATTCAAATAAGTTGTAAAAAGCAACCAAATCTAAAACTGAATCAAGTATCTTAAATGCAAATTCTAAGAATTTTTTTAAAGGAATTATGAATATTTTTTTTAGAATTAAAATAAAATGGAGATTTTTAAGAAAGCAAATTTAGTGAAACATGTTAGATCAAAACAAATTGTGTAAAAAGAGAATTGGATGTATTTTTTAATTCTTAATAAAATTAGTAATAGCTTTTTATTTTTTTGTAAACTAAATTGTTTTAAGAAGAATAACTCATTCTTAAAACATCTTGAGTCAAAAGTCAGATTTTGGACTCAGAACTTTATTGTCATTGAAGTAATTGAAAAATTTTTCTTAAAATATTTATTGAAGATTGAATTTTTTATTAAAAATAGGGTTTCTTCATTCACCATGAAATAATGATATCATGTAGCAGATAAAAAATATAACATTATTTTATTTTATCTGATCCCAAAACAATATGCAGGTTAAAACAATATGGGACTGTTTTGTAGCTATAATTCTTTTAGCTAGTCTTTGCTCCAGAAAATTATATAGTAAATAAAGTTAATGCAGGCCCAATATTGCAATACACACACATTTTGCTCATTTCAACAAATTTATATCATATCATGACCTTCAATACAATGTGACTGCATAAACAAACCTCAAACCACCAGATTACATCAGGCTACTTTTCCACAATTATGTTTATATTATGACTGCATAGCAGAAAAATGAAAGATTTCAATCTGTCATATTTTTTACTTGTTGTTGTATCACCAAACAAATTTACTTTTATCAATAAGCTTCATGTGTTCACAGTATAAAAATTAATGATAGCTAACAGACATTAGAACTTAAGTTACAACTAATTGTCTTTCTTTACAGTTCTAAATCAAAATTTCTCTGGTTCGGTAAAATTTGCAAGAAAAATTTAAAAATTGTATTTTCTTTTCTAATTTTGATACTTGCCAAGATTTTTCAATGAAATTTTATTATTCTCTCATATAAATTTACTGCATAATGTCACTGATTCAATTTGAGACAAAATTGATTGTTCTAAACTTTCTTGTTTGCCCATTTTAATTTTCCCATATAATTTAATTATATATATCACATATTTGTAAAATTAATTTGAAATTAATTACATGTACTGTATCCAGACTTTTATGGAAAACTAAGGAGTAAATTTTCAAAATTTATTTCAGAAAACACAGAAATATTAAAAATTACAAATCTATTGCAGTATAATCCAATCAAAAATAATTTTACATTGAAAGAAATTCTATGGACAGTCTGATACAGGTAAAAGTGGCAATAGTCATATGTTCAGATTGCAAACATTTTGCTCAAATAACAGGTTGACCAATCAAGTTCTATTTGACTAACATTAATGGATGACAGCATCCATTGTAACTTAATATTATTAATGTTGGTATGTGTTATTAATTATTTTTAGATATGCCACATGTGATTATTGTATTGCTTTAATACAGTTGTTCTCAACCCTTCTGAGGCTGCAGAACACCATTCATATACTTTTTATTACAAGGAGCATTAGCATCAATACATTCAATAATTGATAAGCAATTCCATGTTTACTATTCTCACGAAACAATGAAGCAATAAACTTTAATATATTTAATGAAATAGAAACATGGAATTATCTACAAATATAGCAATAGGAATAAATTTGAATAAAAACTTTAAAATCTTTCCTTTCGTGGAACATCAAGATAGGTTTGTGGAACACTGGTTAAGAATCACTGTTTTAATAATATATTATGTACATGTTTACCTTCTAATTTAAACATATTTATTTTCTACTCACAATAAAAAAACCTAATTTTTTCATTTCTAACTATAACATCCTAATTTTAAAATGTCTCGGTCAGCAATTTTGAAAAGTGGCAACACTGATCACCAGGGTCAATTTTAGGTACAGACAATTCTAAACAGCTGTTTAGAGTTCAGAAATTGAAATAATAAAATTTAATCAGTTTTAATTACCTTCTGTTTGTTATTTTTAAATAACTATTTATATCTTGATCACCATTTTTATAGTTTTCCTAGGGTTCAATAAATTTTAATTTGGCCCTGATTATCATTGTTACTTTAAATTAGTTTGTAAATTTACATTATCTCCATTAAATTACATAAAATCTGTTGTAATTATTTATATTTTTTTTATTTCCAGGCTTATATATTTGGTGCTATAATGAATCGAGATGAAGCATATGAAAGTTTAATGGAAGCTGGCCTCAAAGCTGGTTTACCGTGGGCGCACATGCCTACAGAAACTGAAGATGCGGTGTCTCGTAAACCCAATAAAAGTTCATCAGAAGTATAAGCTGTTAAAGATTTATCATCTGTGTTATTCATAAATAATTTGGTATTAAAAAAAAACAAGAACTGTATTTAGTTTTAAAAAAAACGAAAAAAAAAAAGGACCAAATTGAACTAGTCAAATTTTAATGCGTAACAAAATACATTGTAAAGAGGCAAGTAAATCTGGACTTATAAAAATGTATTTGCTGTATTTTGAAAATCATTTTTCCATTGTAAGATATCTCTCATCTATATGTTACCAGTATATCATAATCTACTTCATATCTAAATAGAAATCAACTTGATTTTTTAAAAAATACTCTTAATTTTTTAAATTCCAAAATAGTGATCTGTGATATTTATATACATTGTATTGTCATTTGCCTGTTTATAATTCACTTTTTCTGTGAAAATAATTTTAATTTAAAGAAAAAAATTTTTGATAGTCTTGGCTTCATATAATTACCATAAATTCATTTGAATCATAACATATCATTGTATATACAATATTTCAGTCAAAAAAGTTCAAGATATGAAAGAGATATAATAAAACTGGTAACATAAGGAGTTGAATTTGGTCATAAAATATTAGTAAAAGAAAGAAATTTGGTACAATTAGGTCAGCAATAACAGGATTTCATTGTCTTACATTAATGTCCAGAGATCCGATGTTATTCTCGCTGTCCCAATTGCATTTCATATGAGCCTGGAATTGATTTATTATGCAAGATCAATTCCAAAATATTTCTGTAATCTGCCATAAATAAGTTTGCAGTAAATATAAATAGACCATTGCATATGTGAATTTTTCATTCTTCATTTTTAATTTTAGCCTCTTATAAAATTTGCTGAAAAAAAAGTTTTCTCTGGACAAAAAATTTGCTAGAAAACTCAAGTGATTTTCAAGTTATATACTCATTATCAGGAGTCAAGAGAAATGAAGATCAATAGAAGATGCCAGATTGATGTAATGCAATTCTAAAAATGTGTACTGAGGTTAAATGTACAATAGATTTGCATTGTAAAGGAAGTTCTATTTCAGATAAGTAAAAAGAAAAATTATAAAATTTCTTAACATAGAAAATTTTACTTTTTTTCAGCAAATATGTTAGTGCATTAAACATCATTCCAAATGTTAAAACTATCAATTAACAGAAAACAGGCAAAAAAAAATTAGTTTTACGAATGATTTGGTTATACTGAAAAACTGGTAGAAGGCATCACTTCACAATAGCTCAAAATTTTTGTTCTGTCAGCATGAAAATCCAAATTTGGCATCTGATAAACAATTTTAATGGTATCAAAGTTTCATGTATGAAAGTGAGTTATCTAGAAGTCAAGGACAACTTGTCTGATGTATCCTTTTGATCTTCATTTCTCTTGTTTGCTCCTGACAATTGGCATATAGCCTGAAAGTATTTGAGTTTTCTAACAAATTTATATTCTGAGAAAATCAGTTTGAACTGGATTGTTAATGTTAAATAAATGAAAGTTTAAAATATAGCATTAAAAACGTAATAAATGATTCATCATCCACAAAAATCTTATGCATGAAATCCTCATTCTTACATACATATATATTAATATACATATAATTTATTTTTCATCATAAATATGTATAATTGTTGAATTAATTAAAGTCTATACAAAACTATTGTATGCAAATTTTAATAAATCATTATTTATTAATTATTAAAATTATATATTTTATATAAAAAATTAAAGGTATTAATGTAAAGATATTAATTGCATATCAGAAACACTATTAATTTTTTAAATACTTATGAATTAAGTTCATCCTTTTTTCTGATACCTATCTAATTACGTAATGTCATATATTCTTTATTTCTGATATATAAAATCTGCTAAAATATATGTTAATAAACATGTTTTTATTTATATTTACTGCAAATTTATTCTGCCAGACTATATCTGTATGCTTCATTATAGTGCATACAGAGTTTTGATGCCTTTTGGGCTTTTTTCCTACTTAAATGTATTGTTGTCATTATTTTGTTACAAATATATGTATATAATATATAATGCATATAAAAATATTCATAGTTTTATAAATATGAATGGGGAAAAATATATATATATATAATTATACTGTATATCAAATATTCATTGCTGTTTTCATTATGACAGCAGACAGAGCACAATAAATCGAACATATTCTAGAATAATAATTCTAAAATTTTATATATATATATATATAAAGAAGTGATGCACAAACAGAGAAGAATTAACATCATGAATGTAAAAATCTGAAAATTTTTTATCAATTTTATTATTAGAAATACGATATCTTCAACTTGTGAAAGTCTGGGAAATGACTGACATTTTGATATGCAGGTATTATCGTATTTTACTTCACTTATTTTTTTTTCTTCTCTCTCTCTCTCACACACTGTCTTTCTCTCTCATTATGAATGTCATTCTCTCTTCAATCAATAAGAAATACATGATTCAGATATCAATGCTCAAGATAATATACTCAAATGTTTTCCTTTAAGTTTTAACAAGTTTTAAGGTTGTTAAGATGGTTTTATTAATTGGAATTCACACATTTTTTTATTTTAGTCTCACACTCTTAAGAGCAAATGTTAATAATAAAACATATTATTATTTTTATATCTGAAGTACAGCACTTTAAAATAGATTATAATTGATTTATGCATTTTATATTGGTTTAACTTGGATTTTTCTTATTCTGGTGATTTTTTAGAAAAAGGTTATCAGAACACTTTTGAAATTGGTAACTTTATTATAAAAATTATTAAATTTTACAAGAATTCTGTAGGAGAGAGGATGGTATAGTAGTAAATTTTTGAATTATTGAAAAAAATATGCTATATGCAAGTGTCAAAAATTGTAATAAAAATTTCACAAATGTTTATAACATTATTTCAAAGGATAATGATATTTAAATGAGAGAGATCTCATTTTTTTTCAACTTTTGTTATGATTTATGACAGTATCTATCATAAAACATTTGTGCCATATATTCAGAAAGTAACACTTTTAATTGATTAAGCATTCAAAATATTGATTTGAAATCCCAAAGTAATAACCCCTGGGAATTTTTCATGGGTAGTCTGTCCTGGATATGTCAGGCTGCATCCCTCACAACCTGGCTGCCTCTATTGTGGGCCTGGTTGAACAGTGTGATTCAACACTGGACTTCGAAAAAGGCTTTCTTAGTGCCCATATGGCAGGAAAAGTCAAATTTGAAAAGAAAAAAGAAATGTTTTTTAATTTTGTTTATTTAAAACAAAATTAATTGGCTGTCTTCTAGTGTTTACTAATTTTTTATATATAATTTAATATTTATGTTTTAATTAGTTTTGTTAACATCTTCAACAATGATTATATACAGTCACAGAATTTAAATTTTTGCAAAGTTGCCAATTTTGAATGAATTCTGATAATTTCTTCATAGATGATAAGTAGTAAGAGAAAATTAATTTTAGATAATCTGTGTGTTAAGTAACACGGATATCATTCTTAAATTCATCATTACATTTAAATATAGTATTATGAACATAAATAACTAGCATTCAACTGTTATATCATCAATTAAGGCCACCAGTTTGTTTCTTATAATAATCCCCTATAAAAATAGAAAAACTGTTGCTTGTGTTCATAAAAGTATATTTAAATTTTCTAAAATAATTGAAATTTTTTGGAATTCTTAATAATAATTATCTCTTAGTATATATTATAATAATTGATTATTATAAAGGAAGAACATCAATTTTAAATGGATGTGTCCAAGTACATAAAGTCAGTAAACTCATTTTGGTTTTTTTTAAACTATCCTTTCAAAATGTGATTTGTGATAAAAGAAAATTGTTTTGAATGTAAATATATTTTCTTATGTTGAATTTTGTTTCATATTATACATAATTTTACATGAATTTCTCTTCACATTGATTTTAATACTTATATATTTTAAAGAAAGTATTATGTTAAATGTTATACATATGGAAAATGAGCAAATGAGCTAGTATAAAAAACAGTGGACATTAGTATGTATAATATTCTCCAAAATTCTGTCATTTGTTTGAAGATTTTACAAATTAATTACAATTAAATGTATGATATTCAAAGGGTGGATACTACGATTTAGTTAGATCGAATACACAATATTCCCATACCGATACACAGTAGACTCTCAATTTTCTAATGTGAATAGGGATAAAAGCTCAGATAATCAAATTCCCTCATCCATATTGAATGTACAAACCCTTCAAAGATTTTTAAAAATGTGTTAGTGTGGACTTGCTTTATCTGTCTTCCTGTCCTGCACTTCAACATTGTCTAATAATCTTTTTTTTCTATACAAAGCCTTTTACTGTCAATATTTTAGTAATTATTGTTGTATTACTTTTTTATATCTGAATAATCGAGGGTCTACCGTAAATTGGTATTAACAACCATTTAGATATGGCAGCTACGGATCTCTGTGTATACGGCAAAAGAGCTAACAAACACTTCTGGAGCAGAAATGACATAATTTACATAAGTTTTAAGTGGTGATAAAATTTTTAGAAAATATTTTGGCAACATAGTTGCTTTAGTCAAATTAAAAATATATATATATATTTTAAAAATTGTGATTGTTTTCTATCTAATCATTGCCAAAGAAAGATAACGTCTTTGTTATCAAATTGTTACATTTTTACTTTTAAAAATTTAATAATTGTTTACATAAGCTAAGGTTTTCCTAATGTATTTTTATTAAATACTTTACAGAATTCTTCCTCATTTAGCCCAAAGAATGATAATTTTTAATGGCAAGACTTTTATTAATTAAATCCCTTAACAATTGTAACTAGTATTTGATTTTTGTATATATGCATATTTTAAGCTTCCTTTCCAAATATGCTTCATTGATTGCTGTCAATGTCATTTAATTTTTATTAAAAGTAAAAATACAAATAATAATAATAATATAATGCAAAATAAGATTCTAATTATAGTTGTCATTGACTTTTTCTTTTTTATAAATTAAATAATAATAATTAAATTTCCAAAAAAAAATTAAAACTTGTTGCATTCCATCTATGTATATAAAATAAAATATTTTTTAAAGAAAAAAAAATATTTATAAACTTTTCTGATCTAGAAATTGAATTTTTTAACATTTCTCGATTTTTTTCCATTCGCTTATAACTAATTAAAGTTATTGCTGTTATTATATATAAAGATTTTTAATTTATTCTATTTAGAAATTGAAATAAGTTTAAAAATGGTATTAAATTATAGATACTATAATAAATTCTTTTTACAAGAAAAATTTAACTTTAAAAGTGTGTTAAATTTAATTTAACACACTTTTAAAGTTTTCATTATTAATTGAGGTGTTTGGAATGGAAACAGCATTTATTCTATATTGTGAACTGATACTCTCAGTTCTTTTGGAGAATTATTTTCAGTTCATCTTACAATTTATACTAATAAGTTCTAAGTTGAACCTGAAGAATTAATGCTCCGATACTTTCAAAGGACCACAAAAGTACTTACTAGTTTACAATACACAACAAATGCTTGAAAATTGAAGGTTGAATTTATTACATAAATGCATTATTTCAATTATATTAATTATTGATGGAGATGGCACACATCATCATTCATGGGAACAGAATGAACTTATTGATGTTTCTATGAAAAGATAATATGTGTCATTTTGCTGATGTACAACCATCTGTAGATACATACTGAATACACTTTATTAGTGTGTTCCTATGGAAAGGTGTATGAGATTGTCACTGATCTTCACAATTCACATATGAGCTTTATCTAATTTCCATGTATCAAATAGCTTTTCTGTTCCAAATAGTTTATAGGAAACTGCATGGAACAAATTAGATATCGGAGTACTGCTTTTATTCAAATCTGTATCTTTGGTTAGACCATTTCGATTCCAAACACCTTAACTCTAGGAAGAGCTGTTTTCCGATATATTCTTCCAGACGCTTTGCTTAGAAATAAATAGTGAATGACAGATATTTAATTTGTTAATGCTACATCACTTTTTACAAGCAATAACTGCTGGCAGTTTTACTCTTGTTCCTTGCATACAATTTTTATTTTTGTGTAGTAAATTTTAATCATGAAATCAATCCAATATACATTAAATATATTAAAATAATCAAAACCTTTCTTGATTCAGTATAAAATTTTGTATAAATTTAATCATTTAGAACTGTATAACAAGTGAGATATTCTTTGTTCTCCATATTTTTTTAGTTTATTTTATTATTAATTTTTTATTGTAATTATTGTCAAGAATTTAATTTATATGTAAAATGTAATGCTTTGGCTAGGAAACTGTAACAAAATTAACGTAGTAGCAGAGAAATACAGGAAAGAATCTCTGAACATCGAATGCTAACTGTGAATTTATTGTTATTCCTCTAGCCACTTAGGGAGAAAAAAAATTTTTAATTACAATTTTATAATATGGCCTTAAATGAAATATATCAATTTTTCTTTATTATTTTCTTTTTTATTCGTAGAAATAAAAGATAATTGTCAAAAATTTCAAGTAAATATATTGTAGTTCTATATTGTATCTCTGGTTTTCCTGAGTATGTTTTGAATTTGAAACATTATCAAATTTGGAATTTCTGATATCAAAAAAATAAAAAATAAATGATTTTTTTGATGTATGTAAAGTATTTATTATAAATATTATTATTATTATTGCATGTTGTTATCTGGAAAATGCAAAATGTTGTTTAGCAGATTTTTTTTCCAGTGTTCATTTGTAATAAAATCAAAATGTTTCAAAACGTTTGTTTTGTTTTCTATTCTTTACTTAAACATAATTAACTTTAAAAATAATTATAACGGTTGAGTAATTATATATTGATAGCTTAAAATAGAAAAACGGTAAATAAATATAATAAACGTATATGCCAAGTGAATGATGATAATCATTTTCACACAGTGGACTGGTGATCTAGTAGCCACCCAGTATAGGGAATATTTCTGCAGATCTTTGCTATTCTTTATGTATATAGTGAGATATTGATATAGTGAATGATTTAGCTGTCCTTTGATTGTTCACTGTATATTATTTTTCTTCTGAAAATAAGCTATTTTAATACGAAGTTATCAAATATTAATTCCTATTTAAATTTAAACAAAGGAAGATTTTATTATAAATTTGACGTCAATTACCTTACAGAAATATTCCCATAATAACCACATCAAATTTTGAAAAAATTAAGAATTTAAATATTTGAGTTTTAAAAAATTTGTTTGTTACAAAATTAAAAAAATTGATAAGTCACTAACGAGATAAGCTTAGTAATGGTTATTCAGACTTTGACCCCATGACTCATGAACCTTTCACAAAAATGTAATGAAAACTTGGATGTGTTTTCTTTCTATTTTTTTCGCAAGTCAGTTTAATTTTTTTTATAATCATCAAACAATAAAAATCATATTAATTTTAATACATAACAGCTCATTTATTGTGAACTCGTAAAATATGTTTTCGATAGATAAAATTTATCTGGCGAATTCTATAGTAGAGTTTATCAAAGGATTAAAAAAGTACTTTCAATACCAATAAAACAAGTTAATTCGTCCTAGACCCGCGTTTAAAAGACCTTCGTCACCATCAAAAGTTTTATTATTTTTACTTTATTTAACCTTGTTTAATAAAGTAAAACAGGAACGTATACTATACGCAAAACCTACTTTGTTAGCCTTACCCTGCGGAAACATGTATGACGTCGTTATCGCCGTGACGTGTATCATTTAGCAATTGAATGCAAAACCGTATATTTCTTAACGTATGTTCTATAATCCGTAATAAAAAAAATGAAGATCGATTCTGTAACGTTAACAAGTTACAATCGATAAATATCGAGTTAAATGTTTGTTCTACTTTAAAGGAACACTTGGCAATTTTCTAAAAACGGAATCCACAACAAAAAGGAAATTTCTTGGAAAGTTAATTGTTGTAATATATAAAGCTTTTAATACGAGTCTAGGAACGAAATTCTAGTTTTTCGTTATTACTTATGATATAGAAATTGGAGCAATTAATTTTTTGGATATAAATTTATAGGTGAAGGACACGAACTTGATCGAACCCGATAAAATCAAGTTTTCTCGTTTAAATTAGCTGAATAATTCATAAACACGATTTAGCAATTTTAAAGTTTTTGTACCACCGAATCATCAAAATTGAACGAGTAATCACTCAAATTTAAAAAATACACAGGCAATGCCAACCCAAAAATAAAACTCAAGACCCTTAAATACAAAGTTTATTGATGAAAAACCATTGTGATTGTGTATTTGAATTACAAAGAAAAACAACATTTTTCCAACAACCTTTTTAATAACTTCAAATAGAATACAAGAATAAAGCACAAGAACCCAAGTACTACTCACTACAAGAAAGAAAAATAAAAGTTAAACATAATACATTTAGCAAGATTCAAAAACATTTGTTTTTTTTTTAATAAACTAATTTTTTTAATTATTTTTTTTCTATATTTTAAGATTTATTTTTTGAATTTTTGCTATTTTTTTTTGTATTTTTCTTACTATTATATGTTGTAACCTTGGCAGACTTGGGGTTCACGTGGGCGGTTTTTTTAATTTTTTTTTTATGAAGGAAAACATTAAAGCTAATATATATAATATCAAACTCTATAAACTACATTTCAAACAGTTTGCACACAATACAGTTTCTATATTAGTAAAATTCGAAAAAAAAAAATACACTAAGAAATTTTTGTTTCTTCTTTTCATTCCTTCTTGAATGCTGCTTCTTTAGCGTGGTGGGCCTGGAGAACGGCGACGGCTTCATCCACCTTTGCCTTCAGGGCCTCATGGTGCTCGAGCATGTGCAACAGCTCGGAGTTGTCGATCTCCAGCAGCATTCCAGTTATCTTTCCGGCCAAATCTGGATACCAGCGATGAATGAGCGGAAACAAACGTTCTCCCAGCATCTGCTTCTGTTCTTGTGGATTGGCATCGGCAAGCATGGAAGTGGTCAGCGGTTCCTGTCCTTGGATGTGGACTGCGGCCTGTTGAACAACCGGTGGCTGAACAACAGATGGTGGAGGATTTCGCATGTTGGCTGTGTATTTATAAGCGGGAGGACAAGGCTGTGCAACGTTGGCCGTTGGTATGGCCGCAGGACGGGCGGCGGCGGCCACGGCGGCTGATGGACCGAGAGCGGCAACTCTTCTCGGACCGGGCGTGGTCTGTTGTCCGGTGATGGGTCTTGCATTCATGTTAGTTCTAATTCCTTGGGTTTGGGCTGCTGCAACCGTAGGACGTGGAGCCGGACGAGCAAACTGCGCAGGCTGCATTGCCGGAAAACCACCGGTAGGTTGACCGCTCGGTCTCAATGGCGGTTGTGGTGTCCAGCGTGGCGTGGCTCGCATTTGTGAAATTTGAGTTGGAAAATATCCTCGTTGGGCTTGAGGCATTGTTGGTACAAAATAGCCGGCTCCTCCCGGTTGAAACATTTGACCGAGATGCGGCTGCATTCGCATTCCGGCCATTCTCTGCATGTACTGTGAAGCAAGATGAGCCTTACGGTCTTCTTTTCTTTGGGCTAAAGCAACGTAAAGTGGTTTAGAAACCATGATTCTTCCATTCATTTCAGTTACTGCTTTTGTAGCTTCTTCTGGAGAACTGAAACACACAAAACCAAATCCACGAGAATGACCGTGGGCATCTGTCATGACTTTAGCACTCGTGATCGTACCAAATGGAGAAAATTCTTTTCTGAGGCGTTCGTCATCGATAGCATCATCCAAATTCTTAACGTATAAATTAACACCCTGATAGCGGCTCATTCTTTCCAATTTTAACTGTTCAAATCTACGTTTTAATTCCGCCTGTCTTTCAGCTTTTTTCTGTGCCCTACCAACATACAGTTGCTTTCCACCAAGTTCTTTAGCATTTAACTCTTCCACCGCTTTCTCTGCATTCTCAGGATCTTCAAAACTAACAAATCCAAAACCTTTTGACTTACCGCCTTCGTCGACCATCACTTTTGCACTGGTGATTGTACCGTACTTCTCAAACATCTCTCTCAGTTTATCATCGTCCAGTTCATCACCAAAATTTTTGATGTAAACATTCATGAATCGACGAGCTTTGTCACCGAGCATTTTCTCTCGTTCCCTTCGCGGGATGAATTTTCCTACATACACTTTTCTACCGTTCAGCAGCATGCCATTTACCTTAGCAATGGCATTATTGGCCGCTTCTTCAGTTTCAAAGTGTACAAAACCGTAACCTTTCGAGTTACCTTCTTCGTCGGTGGCCACTTTACACGACAGGATGTTTCCAAAGGCAGAAAAGGTATCATACATGGCCTTATTATCGATACTCTTGTCTAAATTCTTGATGAAAACGTTTCCAACACCAGATTTCCTAAGCGATGGATCTCTCTGTGACCACATTATACGAATTGGTCTTCCCTTAATTAAGTCAAAGTTCATTGTATCTAAGGCTCTTTCTGCATCTTGGGGGTGTTGGAAGTTAACATAGGCATAACCCAAGGATCTTCTTGTGATCATATCCCTGCATACTCGGATGGAAAGAACTGGTCCTGCAGTAGAAAACTTTTCGAAAAGCATAGCTTCTGTTCCATCAGGATGTAAATCGCCGACGTAGAGAGAGGCAATGGGACAACTAGGGCCGCTGGGATTCATCTTCTTTCAATAGGCCTAACCTTCGTATCCAGATGGTTCTTCGTTCTTCGTATATTTTTTTTTTCTTTTTTAATTTTTCTCTTTTTATGTTGTTTTTTATCCTTTTAGAACACGACTTGACGACTTATATTCTATAATATATAAAAAAGTAGATTCTTTTACGACACCCACGTGACGCCACGAGTGTGAATTCCAAAGCCAAGGTTCGAAGAAGAGAACGACGCACGTTGGAACGAGGCTACGTTCGATTACGTCACACTAACGTCGATTAATCTTATTCGAATTTATTTCCCATTTTGAGAATAATTAATAATATTTATCTCTATTAATTATTTTTAAAGTATACGAAAATAATTTAAAAATTGTTAATATTTATAAATTCCCCTTCGTTTTTTGTTTACGAGAGTATAATGTTGTAACCTTGGCAGACTTGGGGTTCACGTGGGCGGTTTTTTTAATTTTTTTTTTATGAAGGAAAACATTAAAGCTAATATATATAATATCAAACTCTATAAACTACATTTCAAACAGTTTGCACACAATACAGTTTCTATATTAGTAAAATTCGAAAAAAAAAAATACACTAAGAAATTTTTGTTTCTTCTTTTCATTCCTTCTTGAATGCTGCTTCTTTAGCGTGGTGGGCCTGGAGAACGGCGACGGCTTCATCCACCTTTGCCTTCAGGGCCTCATGGTGCTCGAGCATGTGCAACAGCTCGGAGTTGTCGATCTCCAGCAGCATTCCAGTTATCTTTCCGGCCAAATCTGGATACCAGCGATGAATGAGCGGAAACAAACGTTCTCCCAGCATCTGCTTCTGTTCTTGTGGATTGGCATCGGCAAGCATGGAAGTGGTCAGCGGTTCCTGTCCTTGGATGTGGACTGCGGCCTGTTGAACAACCGGTGGCTGAACAACAGATGGTGGAGGATTTCGCATGTTGGCTGTGTATTTATAAGCGGGAGGACAAGGCTGTGCAACGTTGGCCGTTGGTATGGCCGCAGGACGGGCGGCGGCGGCCACGGCGGCTGATGGACCGAGAGCGGCAACTCTTCTCGGACCGGGCGTGGTCTGTTGTCCGGTGATGGGTCTTGCATTCATGTTAGTTCTAATTCCTTGGGTTTGGGCTGCTGCAACCGTAGGACGTGGAGCCGGACGAGCAAACTGCGCAGGCTGCATTGCCGGAAAACCACCGGNTTTGAATGCTTATTAATTATTCAAATTTATTATAAAATAATAATTCGGCAAGATAAAAAGCATTTATTATTTCTAAATATAATCAAAACTTTTGACTTGCATCATCGCATGCAAATGTATCTTATCGCTTAATGACTCATTTGTTCATGGTCATTCTTTGTTCTTTTTAACGGTTTTGGATTCGAATTCAGAATATTAGAAAAATTATGAATAAAAACAATTTATAACTTTAAAATACTTTATAAAAAACCCTGTCATTTAACTGATAAATTAATCAAAATTATCGGTTAATTGAAACATATAAAATTAATTGAGGTATTTAATGATAATAGGTAGAAATATTTTCGTCAACGTTTCACTTATTTAATTGATTAGATGAGCAATCAATAAATGAAAAATGGCAGAAAGGAGACTAGCAAACCGATAGATGACATTCAATTAATTGAGCTACAGATACGACAGTGGATATAATCAATACAAAATTTAATTATGTAGAGACCTTTGTTTTCGTTAAATTTTCTAGATATTGGTCAGGCAAAGTGAATATAAAAGCAATGTTTTAAAATCATTAGTTTATTAAAATTTACACCAATCTTCCAAGAGTAATTTAAAATATCAATTGATTGAGGACCGGATGTCCGAAGTGGTTAAAACGTAAATCTATCGCTCGAGGCGATCCGGAATCAAATCCGGACGAGCAACTCCAGGAATTTTTTGTGGGTGGTTTGTCCCAAATATGGCGGACTCCGTCTCTCACCAACCGGTCTCCCCATCGTAGATCTAGCTAAATCCACGATGGGTATGATTAAAACGGATCTCTTAGTGCTCACAAGGCGGAAAGAACAAAGCAAAATATATCAATTAATTTAATATATCCTAGTTTCTATGGCTTATAATAACAAATGAATTATTTTACATTTTTTTTACTCTGAGACACCGGTTACGAAGGGAGTTTATCGAGCCTATCGTTTGGCTATGCCCACAGTGAAGGCGACTGGATGCTAAGGGATGGAGTCCGACATATAAAGGATTTACCACACCCGAAAAATTCCTGGTGTTTTCGACCGTCCAGGTTCAATCCCAAGTTACCAAAGTGGTAGGATAACGCTTTAACCGCCTCGGCTATCTGGCCGTTAAATCTTTTCGTTTGTGGATACTAGAAGGAGATTTTTTAAATAATGCTCATTATGGGTTTACTCAAGCTCATAGACGGGACGGGTTAATGAGGAAAATTCTTTAGACAATCAAAACGGGGCTGGTCGCATGGAGTTTTCCGTGATTTATTCACATGTCACATATTAAACGGGGGCCATAAAAGTTTCCCCGGGTTTCTCCTCTAGGCAGATCTTTGTGTTGTGTTGCCTTTATTCCATCAATCACTCCTAGATTAATCAACCTGTAAACATTTCAGATCCGATTCAAATTTAAACTTGGATCTCCCAGAGAGGCAGATTGGAATTTTACCTCCTTGGCATACGTATGATAAAAGCGATGAAATCTTACGTTGGTACTTTGAGAAATAATTTTTTAATGGTGCTTCCTTGTTGATTTTTTTTAAGGGGTAATTAGGGATTTATCATTTATTGGGCAGCTCGTGAACATTATTATTGAAGTGATATAGATGCCAATTTAGCTAAATGCTTGACGGATTCTGTTTTCTAGTACACAGGATTGGATTCACCATAAATATTATTTTAATGTTACATTTTCAAATTGTTCGATCTCATTTGTCGACGGAACTATTTGTATTCAATTAGATTATTTATTACAGAGAAAGTCTTAATATGAAAAAATCTCAGCACTATTATTACAATGATTGTTTATTCCAGGAATAAAATGGAATAAAACATAATATTAGGTAACCTGTAAAATATTTAACTTAACCATCACGCAATCAGCAGAACGCGTCATTCATTCTGCTGATTGCATGACGATTGTATGAGAATGATTTATCATGCAGTTATTAACTGATAGAACATTTGGAGAAATTTTAAAATTACTTTAATCAATTTTATTGTAACATTTTTATTATTTATTCATTTCGTAAAAATATGAAAAGTTGTATGTATATTTAATGATAAAAGAAGAGGAAAAGAGACTGATTATCAGATGGAGAGATGAAATTGTTAGGAAAATTGGAATGGAATTTATGCAAAAGGCAAATTAAAATAAGAAATGGAAATTACTGGGATATTTTCGTACACAAATGGCTCGAGAATGGTTAAATAAGAGATAAACTCTATTTAAACACTTAAGAACTAGGAAAAATTTCGCATTTGATTGATCCAAATATAGTGTCTAATAAGTACAGTGTGTGATCGGTTAACGAACATAATCCATTCCAAGACTTTGTCCATAACGAATTGTTCGTTAACCGATTATCGATTTACCATAGGTTTTTATGGAAATTTGATTAATTCGTTCCGGAGACTCCAAAAAATAAAAAATATATAATTTTTTACTACGTTTATTTATATGTAATAGTAAAAATACATATATACATGGTCTTGCATTTTTATTAGTCATGTTTTTTCCGTTTGTGGGGGTTAAAGATTCTGTCCAATGTCGATTGCTTTTTTCTCTTCTTCATGATTTTTCGGAAGTAATTAGTAGTATTGTAATTGTAGAGATCCCCAACCCCATTAACCTTATTCTGGTTTGGATGTCACTTGGATGATCGTTGTTCTGACATCCTCCCACTTCTTCAAAAGATCTTTAGTAGCAAATGCTGACATTGGTTCTCTTTCGTCTTCCTCTTTTTCAAAAGAAAACACATCTCGCTGAGTTTCTTGGTATTTTTCATTTGCGAGTTCTTAGAGTTCTTCTGTCGTCAAATCAGTTTCAGGTTCTATTATGAGCTCTAAAATGCTCTTTATTTCTCAGATGAGATTTTCATTATTCCATTAGCAGCTTGAGACTTCTTGATATTTCTTTCATAGCTAAAATTGTGCCTATTGTGGACCTGTTCAACATCAGACATCTTGTTCCCACTTTCTATCTTGGCTATTATCTCTTACTTGGTTTCTACAGTGAGCACAGTTCTTGATACTCCTCTTTTTAGGTTCCATAATATTATCAGTTTCTTTTTTAAATAAAAAGCACTTACAAAAATTCAGAGAACAGAAATCAACTAACCCACAAAAAATTATTTAAATGCAAGGTCCGGATGAAATTCGAAATTTGGTATTAAAACGTTAACGAATATCCGATGGGACACTAAACTTTCACCTTTCGTAAATAAACCCCGATGCAAAACTTAACAATTGCCTGTCCGACAGTCTCGCGAAGACTATAAAAAATTGTTTGTCAGAAAGGTAAACAAAAAGCTGGAATTACAAGGAAGAGTTTCAAAATTCGGAGGAATATTAATACTATCCGGTATCGGTATCGGGTTGAGCGTCGATGTTGACGTCTCCCTGTGGCTGTCTGCCATTTTGTATATGTATATGTGGCTGTTCGCCATTTTGTATGAATAGCTATAGTACAGTATTTATATTTAGAATTCCTTTGTTCTTTCCTTTCCTTCTTCTCCTTTCCACTAATAACCATTTCCGGTCACCCGACAGAAGCGGGAACTTCGTGGGTCCGGATTGGTGGTTTTGCCAACGAGGACAGGGAGGGGTCTTGCCCGTGGGGTTGGTGAGAGTAGACAAAGGGGTGAGAAAGGAGACAGTTTCGGGATATTCCAATTTTCAACGCGAGTGTTGAGCGTTGAAGTCAACAATTTGACGTCATTAACGACGTTCCAACTCGAATACGAAGTGCTTAGTTCCCATAATTCCATTCTCAGAAAGATGGATTCCATTCAAATGTCTTACCAATTACCCACAATTCATTGGAAAGTAGCAGTCAACATATCTGTTGAGTGCTGAGTATGTTGAGTCAATGCTGACAACAGCGCTACCTCAACGTTGAAAAAAGGAACGAATTTTAACAAATGTTGAGATCAGCGCTGAGTCAGCGTTGAAATTGAATCATTACTAAATATGATCATGGATGAGAAACTAATAACCCCTGAATACATCCCTGGCACAACTAAAAAAATAAAATA